CATTTTCTCATTTTTTTATATATTTCTTATTATGTTTTACTATGCAGAAATCATTCCAAATTAAAATTTGTACGGTGTAGACATTTTAGCCGATGTTGTTTATCGCTAGAATATAAATAAAAAAAGATATTATTTTAATTCCATTTTCTTTATGTTATATGTGTAATGACAAAAATACGCAGGTGTAGGCTTTAAGAGAGCTTTAACTGAGAATACAAGGTTCCCGTATAGTGTCCTTTTATAGTCCCAGTAAACATTAATAGCTCTCTCAAAGAGGAGAGAAAGAAAACAAGGGGAGACCACTCTTGATTATTCATAACAATATGTACTTTATATTATGTTTTACTATGTAGATATCATTCCAAAATAAAATTTGGACGGTATTGATATTTTCCTTGTAGATAATAAGTTAAAGCAACACCTACATTTTTATCTGATGGCACTGTCATATATTCAAGAAGGTACTTTCTTTGATAATAGATTTTATCACATCTATTAGCTTTTAGAGGTATGTCAGTATAAATGGTTTATCGACTGATTATTTTTACGGTTTATCAACCTTTTACGGGCTATTTAAAGCCAGAAAATATTTTTAGATTGTAAGAATTTGGCGGTGTTGGATAATAATGATTTTACCAATACAAGTCCTGTTAATTAACCCATAGCTGAAGAGGTGGATTCATGCCTTTCCCAAGGGTATTTGCGTGCAATTTAAATATAACGAACCTGACTGGAAGCGAACCTCGGCTCTGTCCAATTTCCAATTCTGAGCCGTTATCACCGCATCCCAACTTACAGCACCTCAGGTCCCAACCGGTCACTCACGTAGGTATTAACCAGGCTCGACGTTGCTTAACTTTGGTGATCGCACGAGAACCGGTCTTTCAACGTAAGCCCAGTATACTGCCTGTCAGTATGAATGGTAAATTATTATTATTATTATTATTATTAGTAGTAGTAGTAGTAGTAGTAGTAGTAGTAGTATTCCTCCTTTAGTTTGTTTTTTAATATACTTTTTCAAATCTGGGACCTGAAGTAAATGAACGTTTTTCTTCGGAAGTTATTGGAAGATTTTGTAATCAGTACGTATTACGACAGTCATCTGTATTTCAGATGAAGTCGGTTAACTAGGAGTCTATAAATATGAGCATCACTGCATTTATTCCTAGTGCTCCCGTTACTACTAGAATACCGGCAGTGATTAACACTTGAACTGACAGTTGCCATCCAGAGCTATGGAAACCGGTCTGTCCGGCTATTTACCCATAGCTGGAGGGGGGAGAAGAAGAGTATTCATACCTTTCGCAAAGGTATTAGCACGTAAGTGAATGTAATAGACTGGAATTCGAACTCGGCTCTCCGATTCCTTAATCCGAGCCGCTATCCATTACTGACACTTATAATAATCAACTAAAGCTATTTATAGCTTCGACTGAAGTCTTAAAATTTCACACTAAACGTATGACTACGAATAAACTCGTTGTTGGCGTCCGAAGATGGAAATGTATCAGAAAATGCCAAGAACGAGATAACTCGTAGTGAGCACGAGATAACTCGTAGTGAACACGAGATAACTCGTGGTCGGCATCATAATAAAATTAGTAGTTGACAGTAGTGGCGTACAGAGGTTAGGTTCGGTGATGTCTGGGGTTAACTCCTTGATTGTATGACCCCAAGACTCAAGTCGAGGGAAGGGTTTAGGGCCTAGTACTGAGAAATGTGAGAAAGGATGACATTTTAAATCTGTAAAAAAAGATGAAACATGAAATAAACACTTTGTTTAAATTGTTGCACTCTCTGCAACCCCCACCCACCCCCGCACTTCTGCATGCTGCTGTTTGGCAGTCAATGTGTTGAATGTCACATTCGTATAATTTATCAGATTTGGAGAATTTATCAGATTTTTTTTTTTATCAAATGAAAGGGTCGTGATCATGTCTCTAAGGTAGTTCTTTTTTAATAATTCTTTTTAATAATTTCTCTTCAAGTAAGGCAATGGAGCCACTAAGACGTAAGTGGTTAAATGAGCCTGAGAGAAAAGAAAAAGTTTAAAGATTGCAGTTGAATTTTTGAAGATCAAAATTGACTGGAAAGCAAGAAGTCGGAAGAGAGTTCCACAAGCGAGAAAACTTTTTTTATATTATTATTATTATTATTATTATTATTATTATTATTATTTCCTTTGATATCTAGTGTGTAAGGTTAGAAATGGCAACATGACATTTTCCACTGACCAATTAAAAAAAAAACACAAATAAACCAAAAACATATTTTACATAGATAAAGCCCTTCGTAAGGTGTTGTACTCGTGAGAACAATTTTTTGTATTTCTTTAAGGCATGAACTTCCAGAAATCCCTTCAATGAATCAACTGGAATCTTTTCCAACCAGCAGTTGTTGTTATTCCCATGTGCCACATTTTTGAGATTTCGATTTCAAGGTCCTTGTATTTTGATACCTTTTTAAAGATTTTGAAAGATTGCATTACAGTCTATAGGGACTGCCATATCAATAAGGAGGCATTTTTCTTGTTATTATTATTATTATTATTATTATTATTATTATTAAGTGAGGTATCAGTACACCGACAAAGTAACACTGGCGTGCAAATATATAAAAACCGAATACAACTTATAATTGTATTTTAATCAAATGAGGTTACAAACATATGTATTAGAGTAGAATGTACGTGATATAGTGACAAGTTTTAATAAAAGCAACACATATTTATTATTATTATTATTATTATTATTATTATTATTATTATTATTATTATTATTATCTTTCATTTCGCTTGTATACACATTTCCTTCCAGGTCCCAAGTTAAGGTCAAAAATGGCTTCATGATATTTTCCACTGAACATTTTTTTGTAAAAAGAAAAATAAACTAAGATCACACACATTTTACAGATAAAGCTCTTCGTAATGCATGAGCTGTAATTGTGAGTGCAATTTTTGTATTTCTTTAAGGCATGGGCTACCAAGTATCTCTTCAGTGAGTCTATGGGAACCTTTTCCAATCAATCCGGGGGTTTCGACTAAAACTGGAATTTATTATTATTATTATTATTAGTAGTAGTAGTAGTAGTAGTAGTAGTAGTATCGTTATTGTTGTTGTTATTTTACTTGGTATACTGAGGTATATTGAGCTATATCGAGATAATTATTTATTTTTTAATATTTAGTAAGTTCAATAAAATTGTCACATTATTGTCCATTTATCTGCGAATTAGAAATAATCTGGGCACGAAAAATATAATATAATATAATATATATATATATATATATATATATATATATATATATATATATATCCTTCACTTGAAGGAACCATATTTTAAATCAGTTAATTTATAATATTTATCCTCTGTAAATTTACATTGAGCACTGTTTTGTAAAAATAAAAAATATCAATTAAGAACAGCGGATTATATATCTTACCGTTTTTTCTTTTTAGTATTATATATATATATATATATATATATTTTCAGTTTTTGCCATTACCTGAGGAGGCACAGTTTTAGTGCTGAAACATGAGAGCTATTGTGTAGCGATTTTTAACGTTTTTGTTCTAATCTCATATATTAAATAATATTAAGCTCGATTCAGTATTGAGCCCTTTTTAAAAAATTAAATACTACAGGCAGTGTGTGTGTGTATGTGTGTGTGTGTGTGTGTGTGTGTATGTATGTGTTTTGAACAATAAAAATATTAAAAAAATTAATATATATATGTATATATATATGTGTGTGTGTGTGTGTTTTGAACAATAAAAATATTAAAAAATTAATATATATATATGTATATATATGTGTGTGTGTGTGTGTTTCGAACAATAAAAAAATTAATATATATGTATATATATATGTGTGTGTGTGTGTGTGTGTAATGAAAGGCTTGGATTTTTATTTATTAATCCAACATATTCAGGCCTGTAGATAAAAATAAATAAATATGCTCTTTGGTAAATAAACGTTGCTACTGAAAAACGAGTATCCACTAAAAAATAACGTTTATGTAATAAAAAATCTGTCTGATTAATAAATAAAAAATCCATTCGTTTCTTTACAAATTGCTTTCTTTAACGTTAGGATACAAAACTGAAGCATAAAAGGCACTATTCAATTTGGCTCGGTCATCGAGGTACTCCTTTGCCGAGAGGTCAAAGCGCGTTAGTCTGTAACGGTTCCCACTCTAGTGTAATGCTGATCGAATCCTACATGAGAGCCCGTATTTTTTTCTTATAAGATTTCTCGAATATATAGGCCGGTAGAAGAAAATAAATAAATATGCAGTTTAATAAATAAACAGACCGTCGACTCAAATGCGATTATCCACAAAAATAAACTTTAAGTAATAATAATAATATTATTAATAATAATAATAATAATATTATATATATATATATATGTGTGTATATATATATATATATATATATATATATATATATATATATATATATATATATATATATATATATACTTTCGAGGATATAGGAAGACTGACGGCCAGACTGGACGATAACGTCTTTTAGTCAAGCAGTCTTTGTAATTAAAGTGGTCAGTATAAGGAAATAGACCATTATCAATAAAATAAACAAAATTAAAATAAAATATAATCAAAATGAAAAAAAAAAATGAAAAGTGAACAAATGAAAATAGGAAAATTATAAAACTAAAATAAATATAAAATATATAAGTTTTTTACACATTGCTTTTTTATACATGTGGATTATTATTATATTATTATTATTATTATTATTATTATTATTATTATAGCGATCACATTCGGTGTTAGTGGTGTGTCAACGGTAGGGGACCAAGTGGCAGCAAGTCTACTAAAAATAATTTTTTTCTTTATTATTAATGAGATTTATACATTCTATCTCATTGCACAATCCACTTTTTTGTGCATTTTATTCTTCATATGAAACATACAAAATCTGTAGAAGAAAACAAAATGTTAGATTGCATGAAGAATTTCCTCAGGAGATGTGCAAATGTTCAGGTCAAGATCTTTTGTAATTCTTTCAATATGGCATCGTTTGGATCCGCCTAAGACCACGATTTTATTATTATTATTATTATTATTATTATTATTATTATTATTATTATTACTACTACTACTACTCTTAATAGTAATACCAATCTATTAGACTATAAAAATATCACTACATTTGAATGTAATAAAACGAGAATGAAAGACAATCTGTGTTTATTAAAGAACACTTCCTGATCCATTGCATCGAAATCTCATCAGTATTAAAAATGTCATAACAAACCTTATAATGAAAGTGCAAAAATCTATTGCAGCTGTTTGAAAACACAAGACATATTTAAAAGCTGAAGAAG